TGTCATGTTTTATGGACAGATCCAAAAGTGCACCCTTCTATAAATGGGCAGTTTGAAAGGAGAGGAAAGGCTCAGATTGCAGCAGTCCCCGTTTGAAAATGCACCTTGGAACACTGATTATTTTCCTTCCTCCTGCACCAAAGCTCCCATTTTTCTCCAGCCCCCCCACTCCAAAGGCCAGGCCCCAGGTGGGGCTGGGAGCTTTGCTTGTGTTGAATAAAACAAAACACTGAGAGCTGTTCAGAAAGGACCAATAACCAGCGATCCTTTACCAGCCTTGCCTTTGAAAGCAGGGCTAAAATTTCCATTGATTTCAGCAAGAACCAGAGATTTACCTGCAAGTCAGCGTGGCTTTGGTCTGAACACAGCAGGCTGGGATGTAAATAAAGCCGTGCTTTAATCCTGCACTCTGCCACCGAAGTTGCACCTTGAATATTCCTCTTTTTTTTCCTTCCCTAGTGCCTCACTTTCCTCACCTATAAAAATGAAAACAAATGTTGCTGGTTTTCATATAGACTTCAAAATTAGAAAATAATTAGGGAAACTAGCAGAATATCTTTGTAGTTACCTCCTGGATTTGTTTCTTTCTGCTGTTATTACTTTTGTTAAAATCTGCTATTTGTGCTCTCCACTCCCCTGCAGTCCACTCGAGCATCCTTAGGTTGATAAAACTCTGCTAAGGAGGAAAACTGAGGATCCAGAATCAGCATTTAAATCTTATCAATTCCACTTAATCCATGCAATTATCCATGGATTAGACGAGCAGTGCCAGTTCTGAGGGGCTCTCCCAGCTCCTTCCTTGTTGTGACCATCCCCAGGGCCTGACACCCACATCCAAGGGGGACTTGTTGCTGACTTTAATTTGAATTTAGCTGGACCACACAGCCCTGACTCAATGACTGTTGGCAGGATTGGCTCCTATTTTCCATATTTTTAAAAATATATTTAATATATAAACTTGCTTTCATGGACAGCCTGCGTACATCATGAAAAGATAAACTTCACGAAGAAGAAATGACAGAAAAGACACCCAGGTGTTTTAAAAATGTGTGTTAAAACCTCAGTCACTCCACCCAGATTACCCTTTATTTGTTTTGTAGGCAAACAGCACGATTTTAAGGGTTTTAATCCACAGAATTACATCCCACCAAACAAAAACAAGGAAATGTTTTCTACTGGCGCATCAAGCCGGGATTAAATCCTCCCGTTCCAACAGGGACTAAATAAATATTTCCCTCTGGGAGCTGACACCGCCAGCCTCTCCACACACTAAGGAGGTGAGTGTGGCTTTAATGGCTGTGTAGATAAGCCCTTATCTAAAGGATAAACTTCATTTACAGCCTGCACACTTATTTACCAGCTGCTAATGCCCCTCCTTGGTGGCACTCGTGCCTGGGTGACAACAGCCCCGCTTATCTGGGCCAGGTAGCCCGATTTTAGTCATGCCCCAAACGGCCCAGAACAGGAGCTTTTGGTTTAAAAAAAGCGATTTATAGGGACTTGCTAGGGGAAAAAAAAAAAAAAAAAAAAAAAAAAAAAAAAAAAAAAAGGTGTTTTGCTCATGCTTTAAGCGAGCAAAGTTTGCCCCGGGCACGAAAATCACCGCGCGGCTTCAGCTGAATTTCAGCCGCGTTTGGGAGTTTGTTTGGATTGCTGGGTCAAAGCGATCACAAAGGTGATTTTTATTATTATTTTTTTGTGGTTTTTGTTGTTTTACAGAGAGGAAAAGGAGGGAAAAGCCTCTTCAGCCGTGTCGGAGGAGGGATGCTGCCTGCCCAGGCGCCGGGACCTCTCCCAGGTGATGTTTAAGGCACAGAAAAACCTCCTCAAGCCGGCTCACAATGGCCACATTGTAAACGCGTCCCTTCCCATCATGTAGGACGCTGGGATCGTTAGTTTTGGCTGGAAATAAAATATATATATATTACACGCAAAGCGCTCTGCTAGCGGGCAGCAAAGGCGCGCTGCCGCTGTAATGTTTCTCATTATTTTTCCCCTTTGTTCCTAAAAAATGACTGAGTTATTGCATAATGCGGGGATCAAGGAAAAGGGAAATACAGCATGAGGATGGAAATGAAGGCAGCCTGTCAGTTTTAAGCGCAAATGAACGCTCGGTTTTTTTAATAAAGAAATCCCGCTGCAGGACTAATAGTCTGAAAAAAAAATCCCATTTTGACAAGTAAATAGTTTGTTTCCTCCCCATTTCAAACAGCCTTGAGAAATCTCCAGCACCTAGTCAGAGGATTTATTTAGGTTTTCTCGATTCTTGAGTTTTCCCCCCAAATTTTGCGTGCATGCGTTTTATTAGGTTAATAAAACTCGATTTCCAAGCTTTCGGACGCCTCGGGGGTACAATGAGCTCGGATGTCAAATGCATCAAGCAGCTAATGAAGGGATTTCAGAGGTCTCCAAAGTGTCCATAGCAGCAATTTGTAGCGTCTCATAAAGGTGAAGCCCATTCTGGCTCCAGCGTGTTTTGTCTGACACTTTTCCGGGCGCTCCGATTTGCTGCTTTATTCTGATTTCATGTGGTTTTCAAACGCCCCGGTGTCGCTGTCACAGGGATTGTGGCTGAAGCGACTCAAACCAGCATCCCCAGGAGAGCTCATGGCAGTGGTACTGGGAAAGGACAAAAATCCCAAACCTATCGGGCTTTACAGGGATTTACCAAAAGGGATCCAGAGGAGAAAACGATACAGGGGAAAATCCTTATCCAAGGAAATATTTTACTATGTAAATGTCTTGTTGGGAGTGGGGCGGGGGAAGCTGGGCTGTTTTTTCTTCTTTTTTTTTT